GGGTGGGACAGGTGGGGGTGGGTGGGTGGAGTATAGATGAATGGTGAGAGAGGACAGGCGCCTGGAAGCGTTTCTTGAGTCGTTTGTTTTTGGTGTTCATTTGGGGTAGTTTAAAAAATAATCATTTGCTCGTTTATTTGTATGAATGTTTTATGGGACAAGACATCAAATACAGAGGAGGATTTTTACAAACTGAAAAGTGAAAAAATAATAATCACGGAACGACATGGCATAACAATATAGAAACATTTGTTCATATCACTCCAAAAACATTAACATTGAAAATAACATAAAGGCTTCTAGGCCTTTTGGCTAAGATCAAAGTGTAGTATCTGCTGTTCCCGACTGTTTCGGCCCTGTGCCGATTTCAAAGAGGGACAAGTGCCATATGAAGCTGGTGACGCTTCGGCCTCGATAACATCTTTTTAAAAATGGTGAAATGGTATAGTTTAACGTGCCTATCAACACTAGGAGGTTATTTAATTAAGAGGCGGGACCTCAGAGTTGAACGTCCATTTCCGAAAGGATTTTCGAGTAAAGTGTCTTTCCCAAGGACACGACGTCCGACCGAGCTGAGGCTCGAACTCCCAAACCGCAATCTCACGATTACGGGCCCAGTAGCCTAACCACTAGGCCACCGACGCCGCTTCGATTATATCCAGATAGCGAAAGGCAACGTACTCTTAAAACAACACGAAAAACAGACCAAGACAGGTATCAAAAGTGCTGACTCACCATGATGACGTATGTGGTCCCTCAAGATCCTCTCCGACCCAAACTGACTGCCACAGTGAGAGCACTCAAACTTCTTACCTGTCACGGAGAAAGAAAAAAAAGCCACATTATTTTTTGTCCTTACTTTGATTTAGTTTCATTTCCTTTAATTTGCACGGAATAAAACGATTCAGACAGAGAGAAACATTTGAGTGAAAAAAATAAATAAAGTGAAACCTTCTAGTACCAGTGCCCTCTATTTTCACTTTAGTCCATAGACGTATTATAATATCCTAGACCGTGTACTCTGACGTACTCCCGGCTCACGACGGAGCGCACCATTTTTTAATTTTTTTTTTAGCTAAATGAAAGGCACGGGAGGAGCAACACTAGAAAACCGAGGATACGGATTTTCCGACACCAAACGGACTTCCGTACTCAGACCTTCAAAAACTTATTGAATACTTTTTTTTGCGTACTAGTTGACAGCTATGTGCAGGGGTTTTGGGGTTGGGGTTGTTTTGTGTTGTTGTTGTTTTGTTTTGTATATTTGTTTGTTTTGTTGTTGTTGTTGTTGTTTTTTGGGGGGTTGGTTTGGGGTTGTTTTTTTGGTTTTTTTGGAAAAAAAGGAGGAGGGGTAATGTTTTTGTTTCTTGTATCGTTTTGTTCGGGACTTATTTCGGGGAAAGGGGATGGGGTATTTGAAAAAAATTCTTATCGGTTGTTTTTTGGGGTTTTTTTTTTTTTTTTTTGGGGGGGGGGGGTTCTCCGTAATCTCTACAAGCGACAGAAATGGCGAAAAGGTGGGTGTCGAACAGGACACACAAACAAACACACGGACAGATAAGACAGATAGTAGGAAATCAGAATCTGTGATCCCCTGCCTATTTCTGGCCGGGGTACAGCGAACCACAAGGCTATTTTTAGCCCCGGAGATTGACGCCATTCCTGTTGTCACAGCAGACAGCCGGGGGCGCGCGGAATGCGGGACTTGAGTCGTGTGATGTACATGGGGGGATACTCTACGACTACGATTACTACTACTACGACTACTACAGTTACTATGACGAAGACGAAGACGAAGACGAAGACGAAGACGAAGACGACGACGACGACGACTACTACTATTACTACTACTACTATTACTACTACTGCTACTGCTACTACTACTACTACTACTACTACTACTACTACTACTACTACTACTACTACTACTACTACTACTACTACGATGACGACGACGAAGGCTATTGCAAGTACTGCTGCTGCTACTACCAGAACTGCGACCACTATAACTAGCAATACGACTACAAGTACTACTATGACGACTACAACTACTAAGACTGCTACAGTTATCATGTTCGCAAAACCAGTGGACAGATCGGTGTTTGCTTTCCATGACGTATAGACAGATGATAATATTTATCACGCTTCCCAATCTGTTACAGTTACGTCTAAATCGACACACTATGGGTCACTAAGGGGGTGTGTCTGTTTGACTAGTCGCTTCCTCAGAATTACAAAGTTCTATCTGCTCAATACCTAGCTTAGAGAAATTTGACGTCAAAATTTTTGAGTTCCACAATATGTCAAGCGTTTTCGAATGCAATTATTTGAATATCTTGATAACGTCTCTGAATATTCTTACGATTTTGATAGATCAGATAGGGTACTTGGTCTCTGACCTCAAGGTCTTAGTAACTCAAAACGGCCAAAAGGGTCAGATAGAACTTTGTAATTCTGAAGTAGTGTCGGGCTGGGAGGAATGCTGACAGACGCGTAAGGTCTGGGGGTCGAAGGAGATCATCATGCATCATCATCATATATCGCCAAACGGATTCGCATATATATTTTTTG